TGACTGGACACGGGTGTTTCGGCCACTACCTGCACCGTGTCGCCCGTCGGGAGGAGTTGCCGCGGTGTCATCACTGCGCCTCCCCCGTCGACACGGCCGAGCACACGCTGATCGTGTGCCCGGCCTGGCGAAACGAGCGCCGCACGTTGGTGGCGGCGCTCGGCGGAGGACCGCTCTCATTGCCAAGTATGGTTCGAGCCATGCTTGGCAATGAGAGGGCATGGAAGGCTGCCGCCTCCTTCTGCGAAGTTGTGATGGTGCAGAAGGAGGCAGCGGAGAGGGAGCGGGAGGAGGATGCTCTAGCCGCTCCCCTCCGACGTAGACGGGTGGGCCGAAGAAGGCTGGCAGCTGTGACTGCCGGTCTTCGTCGGCCCTAAGGTGGTCTGGGCGCGGCTTGGCCGCCGCGTGCCCTTGGTGCCATTCGGCATAGGCCACCCCGTCTGGGGATTGCCTAGTACCCTAGCGCAATCCCCCAGAGGCGTGTCGCCCGGTCCACTCGTTGGGCCGGGCCAGCCCGGGGGCGTCCCAGTGAAGTGGCGCACACTAAGGTGCGCTGATCCTGAGACGCCCCCATATGGGCGTAGGAGGGTACCGGTGGTTTTTAGTGGGTAGGACCGGCGTTGTTCCGCGCCGGGGAGTCCCACACACGCCGCGCGCCCAGCCAGCGCGCGGTACGGTGCGTAAATGCATTTTCCATCGTCAACAAAAAAAAAAAAAAAAAAAGGTACCTTTACGAAAACGCGACTATGTCAGTCCGATTACAGAACCAGCGCTCTAATCCTATCCAACTGCAGTGAGGCGTGAGACAGGGAGATGAGATATCTCCGAAACTGTTCACAGCAGCATTGGAGGATATTTTCATGCTTCTGGATGGGAAAGGACGAGGCATTAACATTAATGGCGAGTACCTTTCGCACCTTCGTTTCGCCGACGATGTAGTTCTTATGGCTGAAACCTTGGAAGATCTTAACACGATGCTCGAAGATCTTAGTAGAGCTTCCCATAAAGTGGGTCTTAAGATGAACATGGATATGACGAAAATTATGTCGAATGCCTATGTAGTACCCGCATCAGCTAAAATTGGAAACACTACATTCGAAGTTGCCGACTGTTACGTTAACCTAGGATAAACAGTCCAGTTAGGTAAGTCCAACTTTCAGCTCGGATGGGCAGCGTCCGGGAAGCTACGGAAAGTGGCGTCCAAATTACCTCAGTGTCTCAAGACAAAAGTCTTTGGCCAGTGTGTATTGCCAGTGATGATCTACGGAAGCGGGACGTGGTCCTTTACAGCGAGTCTCATAAGAAAGTTCAAGGTCACACACCGAGCAATGGAGAGAGCGATGCTCGGTGTTTCCCTACGCGATAGAATCAGAAATGATGAAATCCGTAGGAGAACCAAAGTAACCGATATCGCTCGAACGATTGCTATGCTGAAGTGGCCGTGGTGGGAACACGTAGCAAGAAGAACCGGCCGTTGGGGCGGAAAGGTTCTGGAATGGCGACCACGCACCGGACGACGCTCAGTGGGCAGGCCCCCTACAAGGTGGACCGACGATCTTGTGAAGGTCACGGGAAGCCGATGGATGCGAGTGGCGCAGGACCGATCGGTGTGGAGATCCTTGGGGGAGGCCTATGATCAGCAGTGGGCGTCGTACGGCTGATATGATGAATATTAAGTTTGAAAGTAAGTAAAGTAATAATAAAACGACTATATGAATTGAGTATATTTTAATACCAAAATTTTTGTTAACTGATCAAATAAAATAGCCACCCACAGGCTTGGTTTCACCAACATGATCAGTGCAGAAAAAACCTTTAAAGTATAGACAAGAATAAGAGAAATATTACTTACCTCCCAAAATAGCTGAAACTTTGTCGAAATTATGAAAAATATTTTTTTACTATTAAAGTACGCGGGTACGCCGGGTGCACACGGGCGTCTGAAACTGACCCATCTGATAACCAACAAAGAACAACCCAGAGACGCAGAGAAGGTGATGGGAATCGAGGCTCTCTGATTGGTTAATTCAAGGTCACTTATGCATCGTGCGAAAGGGATGCAAATAAACACAAATGGTTGAGATGCTTGTGTATCACCCATTTGTTGAGTTCATGATTTTTTTTGGTAGTTCCCAAACCACCCCAAATGAATAATAATCATATTTCGTAACACTTGTTACAAAAATATTATTTTATGGACCGAAATATACATTTTGAATAAAATCTAAAGAAAAGAATTTGCCTTCGCTATAAAATCATCAAATATTTAAATAAAGTTATTTACCTAAAAAAAAAGAAACTAAAATAAAAAATGCCGTCTTAAGGACATTTATTGGATAGAAATGGACATTTATTGGGCAAATACGGAATATGCCCAAAATGCCTGGGCAGAAACCCATCTCTAGTCCCACCTGCTTGAGTGGTCCGTGTATGTGTGTACATATAATAAGACTGTAGTTCACTATACAGTCGCAGATTGAAGCAGTCCATTACGAGTGCTTCAAGCTGCTCGTGTATGGCCGCTCTAAGTCACTCATTCAGGATATACCATCTATACTTATTTAAACAATTTTAAATGATTATTATGTAATGTTAATTTGTCAATAAGTAGGCAAGTTGTCAATAAGTGATCATTTTGAAAGTATCCAAGGCAAAGCGGACTTTCCAATATTGGTTTTTCGCTTAAATTTGAGACCTACTAAAGTCTGACGCTTATCGGAATTGCCGTCTGAGCTTAAGGGAGTAAGGGAATTGTTTCATCCTTACCGGCAAGGAGATTGTTGGACATCATCTATAAAATACCTTTTCTTTCAACTACGTGGTAATGTTATCATTAATCACCGATCACAGAGGACGTATTTTTTGCTTAGAACCAAAAAAGTGCAGAAATGTTATATGAAGTCTCCCCTCTTTCCACTCCGACCAAATGAACCGATAGATTAGTTTTACCGAATGTAATTCGATTAAGGTATTTATTATTTTATGTTACCCAACAGTACAACTGAACTTCATTAAAAATGACTTACTTTAAATAAAATTTCAGACATAACCTCTTTAAGACAGTGACAATAAAGTTTTTCCAAATAAACTATTATAATTTTTATATATATAATTCTTCTGTGAGTGTGTATGTCACTGAACTTCTCTTAAACGACTGGACCGATTTTGATGAAATTTTTTGTGTGTGTTCAAGAGGATCTGAGAATGGTTTAGATTCACAATTTTGTCCGCTGGACAACCCCTATTTTTTTTAGGGCGGTACGAAGTTCGCTGGGTCAGCTAGTATATATATAAAAGAAGAAACTGACTGACTGACAAATCAACGAACAGCCTATACCGCTAGGGTCAAGAGACTCCAAAAGACATTGTTCAACGTCCATACATAGTTAGCCTTAGAACCAACAATCAATGAAATATTATTTTCTAGGTTCAAAATCGTAAGTAAATGACTGTAAAAACAAAGATTATTGACGGACACTGCTGAGAACTTAAATTATTAGGAAAACTAAAAATTTTTTGAGATTATGTTTAATATTCAATGAAACATAGGTCAACCTATGAATTTAGTATGAACTCAGTATGAAGTGAATTAATATTACAACTAATTCATTATATTCGGTGAGGTTATAAAGAATAACTATTAGGAAAAACTAGGAATCATGAATAAAATAAAATGCTTTGCTTCTTATTTATTGACTATTTCTCACTTAATTGTATCATATTGTTTATTGTATTTATTTGTATATCACATGTTTATTGTGTAAATATGCAGCGTGAATGTGTATCACGTGTTCTTGAATAATTTGGCAATATGATCCTCTCAGGATGTTCACAGGTTCACTAGCACTTGGTAATAAGGGCTCTGCTTTTTGGTAACATCGATGGCATATTAGATAGCCGAAATAGTTAAATTAAAGGAAAAACAATCGCAAATAAACACACACAACAGGTAATCCGAAACGAAAATGCACTTTCCGGTATATTATACTACTCTTTGGAATGCACGAATGCCACAGATTACTACAAATGCAAACTGCATGCACCACAACCACAGAGTAACGAGTTTTATGCCGGCCCTTCACTTGAAAACAGTTTGTCCTTGTCATGCTTAATGAGGAATGAAAAGGACAGACCGATGTCATGTTTTAAAATAGCAAATAGGAATAACCAAGTGAAGTGCCGGCATTATGAAGAAAAAGTGTTTTGTTTGCAGCGCTGCCATAGATTAAACACATAAAATAGTATTTATTGTCTCAGATTATTTTTTAACTTTTTAATTTAGCTTACTTAACTGGAAGTGTCCGTCACAATCTAAATACTGATAATTATCAAATACACTAAGAATTATCATAAATGCCAAATTGGCGTTGGTTCTTAGGCCAATTTTAACATTGTCCTTTGGCACGCAGGTTCCTTATGATGTCAAGGGGTGCACTAAGAAAGATTTTTTCAAAATTCCCGCCTGAATGGGTTAAAATAGAGGATAATAGTTTGTATAAAAAATCTTATTGCTTGAGTTAAGACTTGAATCTTGGTACGAATAATTAATTACCTAAATTAGTTTTATGTCTTCCATTAAATTGAATACAAAAGAATGCGTAAAGTCGAAAAAGTACTAGCTGAAAATAAAATCAGTTTTTTTTGCTGAAAATGAACATTATAAACTGAATAAAATAAAACCAACTTAGAGAAAAGAAAAAGAGCAAATTTTACTTATAATAACTGTACTGTTAATAATTATAAGTTTCTAATTATTGAGAAGATGAAATAAACTTGGTTTTTATTAACTTGAGATTTTATGGTCAGTAGGTATATTTTATCTAGGTATGTAGATCGGTAGTTAAAAGAAAAGTAGATTACGCACCTTCCTAAGTGAGTAATTATTGCATTGGTCTTAATTTAGTGCCAACATAACACTCGTGCATCAATAACTCACTTTGCTCTCGATATAACAATCTAAAATTATGGTCATATTGATGTTAGTGCTTGTTTTTCCGCAGAGAGAAAACAGAAAAGGTCAGCTGGAGGTGACACTTCTATATAATGCAAGTGAAGATGGACTCAACGATACAGTGCAGCTTACAATAAACCGACTAAGGTGCAGCGTGCAGACTATGCAAGAACAGGAGCAGTTCAAAGGTACCTATTTAACTACCATCATTTATCATTGACCATTGTGCCTATTCTTTATACAATAGCAACACAATGTCACAATGTTTAGAATGTCTGTATTGTAAAATACGATTTCCTCTTTTCAATTAGGAATTCGATTTGTCTGATGTTTGCGTTTCAACTTCTTTTTGTGCGATAACAGCTCTGGGTATTCATTTGATTCATGTATATTTAATGATAGTATCAATGATTATTATACCTAGTAGGTAATGTCATGTCACGCCGATTTGGAGAATTTTAGACACTTTAAAACAATAATGTAACAACAATAGATATGTCATGGCGTTTCAATTCAGTAGTTTATTTGTCACCGGAAATCTGTATAATGCAGGTATCCTATATCACGGAGGAAAAACAAAGTCCTATATAGTATAAAATGCCTGAGGCGTCTAGGCAATAAATGGATTATTATAAATATTAATTTCCATTTTCGTCTGGTCCACCGGCAATGCGTAAAATAAACAGATTTGGCTTGTTTTATCCTAAACAAAACCTAAGCTAGAGTACCCAGTTGCTTTTAAAATAACGGACGGGTATTATAATTCTCAATAAAAAATCAAGGTGATCTGAAAATGTTGATATCATTCCAAATTTCAACCAAATAATTACGACGTTTAAGGAATAGATTTTTAGGAAATTTGAGAAGAAAAAACCTAACATACAAGAAAAAGTTAAAGAATAAAAAGGTCGCAGTGTTAAAATTAAGACAAGAAAATTTTAATGTAGGTTGTTATGGTTATATTATGGAATTTATTTCAATCATTGTGATGTGCACACTACAATACCTAAATAAAATCAGTATGTTTAATTTTACCAGTTGCATATCATTGCTTCATTATTGCTTTAAAACACGTTCTATGTAACTGGTATATATTCTCGTTGACCCCTCGTACAATTAAGCCAAATACTTTGGTTATGACTTGTTACTTGTTCATAGTTGCTATCGAGATCGTTAATTACACGTGTTGAGCATTCGCTAATTGGTGTCAAAGTTTAACCGAGGGAGAAGTTACATCCATGTTACATCCCACAGTTTTTGCTTATTGACAAAAATTTTACCTATTGGAGAATTGCCTAAATACTTAATAGATCTCCGATTCCTCATGAACGAGGAACGACTTAACTTTTTTGGAAAAAGGTTTTCATTAGTCACGATTTTTAAGTCCCAGGTGCATATGCGGAAAATATTAAGCAGCTTTGAAAAAAAAAGTACCGTCAAGCAGTGTGAATGATAAGAATATTGACGTGTCGCGAACGGTAGGACGCCGTTATAGGTAATGGCAGCCAGCGCATCGTGGTTGCGAATGCGATGCTCTGTGATTACAAAAGAGGAGAGAGTTGTCGCTGTGTTGTGTGCGCTGAATCACAAATTACTTACCTATGGATACACAAACTATCACAAAGACGTTCATAAGTTATTAAAAACTGATAAATCAACCTTAACAACTATCATCAGGGTTTCGTCTCTTTTACGTTGTGTTTTCGTGCCGTCCATTTTGTTGATATATTTAAGCAGCAGTGCTATTTTCTTTAATATTCTATTTAATAATTTTAAGGACAATGCGGGTGGACCACGGACTAAAGACTATCGCTTTCTCTGTATTCATAAATCTTTCAAATACGCTGTTTTTACGTCTTTTGACATCACCTATTTTCAGATCGCGATTAATTTGATTGTGATAGGCTTCGAATCCTTTCGATTCCCGTCTTTAATTTGTTTTCCGAACCAATGTTCAAAATTAAAAACTGCGTTGTGCATTGCCACATGTCTGAATTATTTCTGGATGAAAAAAACGACTTATAATGCGACGATTGGTTCTTATTTTGCTTCGACACGTGAACTGCTGCGGTCGCAGTATCCTAATATAGCACTAAAGAAAAATTTCTTGAAAAAAAATCTACTTCAATTTCATGCTTGAATGCAGGACTTATTCTTTTGATAGTTTAGTGTGAATTAACTGATGAAATTTTTTTACGTTATTAAAAGCCTTTGTCTGTGAAAAATTCAAGAAAAACTGATAAAAAAACGGCCACGTGCGGGTCTAACTCGCGCACGAAGGGTTCCGTATCATTAACTATAAATCATAAGACACTATATAATAATATCGAGCAAAAAACGGCAAAAAGATCACGTCTGTTATGTCTGTGATGTGGAAGCCCCCCTTAAATATTAATTATATTTATTTAATTATGTAGTTTTAAAGTGAATAAACAACAAAATATTCTGTGAATATTTCAAGCGTAACGTGTTGCAGTTATTATTATAGAGCAAAAACGACAAAAAACACGTTTGTTGTATGGGAGCCCCCTTAAATATTTATTTTAATCTGTATTTAGTATTTGTTGTTATAGCGGCAACAGAAATACATCATTTGTGAAAATTTCAACTGTCTATAGTTATCACGGTTCATGAGACACTGCCTGGTGACAGGCAGACAGACGGACAGACAGAAAGTGGAGTCTTAGTAATAGGGTCCCGTTTTTACCCTTTGGGTATGGAACCCTAAGAAAAACGCGCATCACGAATACAAAATAACTTGTACTAATATGAACTAAAAATAAGCACGTCAGAATGAATACTTTAAATATCTTTTGATTTGAATATCTTGAAATTTTCGAGTAGGTAGGTAGGTACTCTCAAAAACTGATAACTTTAAAAAGTCCACTTGCAGCAAATATGCTTAATATCAATTAAAGTAAAACTAGATTCACCCATATAAAAAACGTCAAATTGTCATTTTTCTAGAGAGCGAAATTTTCATATTTTTTGAAGAATAACTTGAAGAAATTTGGTATGATATGATATCTATTACAACTTTTGCGACGAAGGCCAAATTTTGGGACAAACCTACCTTAGCCTTACAGTGTGTGTAACTGTAGGAGAAGCTTGGCTTTTAGCACTAAGCTACATAGACTCGTAGTGTGGTCTTAGCCCTAGAAATGCATTGACACTGTTTATTTTGTTAATTACCATACAATAGAATAAAAAATATGTTTTTTTGACCAACGTAAGAAAGAAATTCAACAAAACAAACTTGAAAATGTACGGAGCGACAACGTGACAGTGTAAACAAAACAAAACACACACGAAAAGAATCTTTATTTTGTTGTTGTGTCCTAGTTGTCAGAAACTCATTCATTTGAAATAAAGAGGAAAGATTTGTATATTTATAACGAACTAGCTGTGCCCGCGGTATTACTCGCGGTTTATTAGGGATATTTTCCCGCACTAATGTAGCCTATGTGGTAATTAAAATATAACCATATACCTATTGTCTGATTGTTGAACAACCTACCAAAGTTGTGGGTATTATTTAATTCGTAAAAGTTAATACATAAAAATGGTTTTGATATTCTGTTCAAACAAACAAAATCGAAAAACTTTGTAGCGTCAAACCATGATGGTGTTAACGATGTTGATATTATCATCATTGTATATTCCACAGAAACAATGACCATCCTTTTATTACTATACAAACACAATAATGATGGAGGCAAAGGTACAAGGTCAAAAAATCTTTTTATTATTGTGCATCCGACGTCGAATTGAATTTATCACATTAATTTAATAATCGAATCCAAATATATTGATATTATTGTTTTGTGTAAAATAAAACATTTTAAATCCCGAAAGGACAGCGCATAAATTGTGCGATACTTTCCACGAACTTATTTTATTTACTTACAGATTAATAAAGCTATATCAGGGTTTTTATAATCTGATTTTTATATTTCCCCAAAATGATACATTTCTAGAACAAAACCCCCAATCGCTTTGTTACTAAAAAAATCAAGCATTTTTACTTTCTTCACTTACGATTTGCATCTCTCTCCCCCGCTAGAATTAGTAATTCAAAGGAGTTTTACATGTACAAGGCATAAGCTACGCGACATCAAACTTATAACCAATTATTGCAACTTCCATCACATTATGTAATATTACAATAAGTGTGGCAAGACCATAGACTTATTGACAAGACAGAGACAGTCATAGACTAACTAGCTAGACTATTTTGAAGTGGCTCTTAATTCTAATATATTAGTAAGGGTGTAATTCGAATGGAAAGGACGTTTATTTTAATGCCATATGTTTTCGAAGTGTGAGCCCCAAAATTCCCCGTAGTGTATTTATTTTCCCAGTCAATTTCCCCCAAGATACTATTTCCCCAATTTTCCCCCAACACTAATTTTTTTCCCCAGAATTGCTAAAAAAACCCCCAATCTGGTAACACTGAGCTGTATGCATCTGAGAACCTTTTCACCTCAGATTATAGAACAAAGCTTTTAATTTTCTGTTTAATTTTCTTTGTGGTTTCTTATAATAATGACTTAGGTCATAATTAGTTATGTTGTCATGTTTACTTGGTGACACATTGTAAAATCAAACAGAGAAGAAAGTATTTACTTGTCGATCCTGATGATTCGCATAAGACCTACTGGATGATGAGCGACCATCATAGCCAATAGACGCTTGTGATGCCTGTGTATCACTCGTTGTATACCCAGAATCGCCTACCCTTATTCCATATGGATAGGGGTTCCATGTCTCCCGAGTTTTACTTTATTATTCATTTCCAAAGCAGGATTTAAATGTTCGATTATTTTGCGATATATTTCTTCAATCCATAATTCACTGTGGTGGCTGACTACAAGTATTTGAAGAAACCCTTACCAAAATAAAATTAATAAATTTGTAATTTCTAATTGCATTATGTCTTTTTCCACAGCGCCTCTGTACCTTAAGGCGACAATATTGGAAGCAAACAAAGCAGAGTGCTACTGGAAGAGTGATAGGTTTGTTCCAACAATATCCGCCAGATGGGACCCCAAATCGGCTACCGTTAAAATGACTGTATTCAAAGCTAGCTTGAACAAGGTCAGCATATACATTAGTTTGGGGTGCAAGATTAAAATGGCGAAGAAAGAAATTCTTGGGAAAGCGACAATAGACGAGAAATCTCAATACTCTGATTCGTGGAACGAGTGCTTGCGACAACCAGGTATACCCAAAACATTATGGGTCAATTTCGAATGATAGAATACTACGGTGTACCATATGAGTTAAGCCTCAACAACATTTGGTCGTTAGCCCGTGTTCGGGTTCACGAAAGAGATTACTCGAATTTGGGCACCCGAAGCAATATATACTGGAATGCGGGCTGGAAGACGGTGTCAGGTAACCAAAACTAAAACTACCCGAATACGGGCGTACTCGACTCTGTTCATTTACACTTAGTCGTTTACCTGAAGTCCATTGGCACTCGTACTCAGGCTAACGACCAAGTGTAATCGCGTCATAAGGCAGAGGCAAAGCTTCATGTAGTGTAAGTGAGAGAAACGTTTATCTGTGTACGCGACAATCGTCGTAAGTGTTCACTTTACACACGCGCAATGGGCTATTTGACAACGTTCCGAATTTATTTATTAGAGTATAGTGACTCCATAAAAAGATAAAAAATTATATTTATAGGTTTGTTGCATATATCAGAAAAAAACGTTTTTTTTTTCAAATATGCCGCGGAAACTTTTCTCTAGCAAATATGGCGTCTTATAGGCAGGTGACTTCATTAAAACGTCAAATAGAAGAAAGGAATTTCACTTCGTTAGCATGTCTACAAGCAGGAAGACATTTTAGGCGTGATAATTGACCAAAAATATTATTTATTAATATTTCTTTTTCATGATTTTTAGTAATAGTATTACAACAACTTTTTTGACAGAATAGTGAAATCACTCCCAAAATTCATGTTTAAATACACATGCCAAAAATTGGCAAGTACTTTTTTTTCGTACTGTTAAATGGCTTTTTGTATGAAGCTTTAGATCTGTGCCTTCTTTACTCGTGTGATTATACTGTATAATCGGATGGACTGTGTATAATTTTATGTACTGTTTGATGTTAACAAATGTTATATTTTTCATGTTCTGATGCGTAAATTTGTAAGATTTTTATAATGAAAACTGTGATTGAATCTTTATTTTGTAGACTAACTAATAGTATACTATAGTGACTCGTGGTTGGTTGATTGTTTCTAATTAGATGTGAAAATAAGTATTTCTTTTATTTTGTTAGAATGAGAGATATCGTTATCTGTTTGAATGGAACTTGTAATTTAATTTTAATAAGCCATATTAGTAGGACAAAAGGTAATCAATTAACATTCCAGACAAGTACAGTCACAAAGTCAGTCACAAGTGTAATTACGAAAAAAAAATGATTAAGTTTACTTATTTAACAGCTGGGTACTAATAATGAAATAAGAAAACAGACGATATAAATATGTAATTAATTTCTAAGTATTGCACAAGATTTTACCTTTTATATTTTATTTGAAAGCGTTTATATAGCGGTCTAAAAATAGCCTAGGCCCTGTGCAAAAGGTTTGTATTTATCTCACATTTCAGAGAATCCATAATAATAATGTTATTTGAACCATGATAGAATCTGAATTATTGGTGAGTTCGTATTATGCATATAAATAAATCAAGTTAGTTATATCTGTAGTATTATGCAACTGGTATGATTTTTTACTCGAAAAGTTTTAAGGGGATTATAAAAACATTTTTTAAACACTAATTAGACTAGCCCCCAAAGTAAGCACTGTAAAAGGCTTGTAAGTATATTTTTTCTATAAATATATATAAACATTCATGACTATGGTAAAAATGCTCGTATTCATCATACTAACATTTGCCCCCACCGGGATTCGAACCCGGGACCTCTGAGTAGGCGACGCCATGAAAGCCGGCGTATATACGACTCGGCCACGGAGTTCGTCAATACATACATTATTAAACATTCATTGTTATTGAAATCACATAACAATATTAATAGAACTCAAGAATGTCAGTTGACCGAGTAACGTTTTTATTTTACTTTCAAGACTAAAAAGCGAATAGACCACATATTTATAATTTGTTACAAAATGACAACCGATGTCGCTAGGAGTATTTATTAGTAAAACATTGAGTAAATATTGAGTATTTCGATATCAATATCTAACACATATTTTTCTTCTTTAAGTGCCTCTTCATTATTGAAGGTTGGCCGCTAACTTTTTGTACTTCTCCTTATCTATGGCGAGGCGAAACAATTGCTCGACGGAACTGATCCCCGTCCACTCCCTGATATTTCGTAGCCAGGACTTCTTCCTGCGTCCAACGGGCCTTTTACCCTCAACCTTGCCCATCATTATGAGTTGGAGCAGCTTGTACCTGTCGTGTCTAAGCACGTGACCGAGGTATTCTATTTTGCGCTTCTTGATGGTTTGCATGAGTTTCCGAGTCATTTCGACACGCTGGAGTACGGTTTCATTCCTGACTTTTTCAGTCCAGCTGATACGGAGCATACGACGATAACACCACATCTCAAATGCCTCGACACGTCTCACAGTGTCCTCTTTTAAGGTCCATGCTTCGCAGCCGTAGGTGACTACAGGCCAGATGTAACACAAAAGCATTCTAACTCGGAGCTTAATGTTTATTTGACGACAACACAAAATATTCGTCATTTTGTATAATGAGGCTCGGGCAATCTCAATCCGGGTCTTGATTTCTTGATCAGGTTCCCATGCTTCATTTACCCAAGCACCGAGGTACCTATAGTGTCGCACACGCTCTAGGTTTTTGTTGCCTATCAGTATGTTAGGGTTTAAATCAGGGTTCCTCGATATCACCATGAATTTGGTCTTACTGGTGTTAATAGTCAGCCCCGCTTTTTCACTACTTTCATTCACCCGGTTTATCATTGCCTGTAGGTCGTTTGCTGAAGCTGCAATTAGAACCGTGTCATCTGCATAGCGTAGGTTGTTTACCGTCTTGCCATTTATTTTCACTCCAACCTCGAGGTTTTCAAGAGCTTCCGACATTATGGCCTCTGAGTATATATTAAAAAGCATCGGAGAGAGAATGCAACCCTGCCGGACGCCACGACAAATCTCAATGTCTTCAGTTTCTTCGTTATCAACTCTAATACTAGCTCTCTGGTTCTTATACAAGTTGTGTATGATGCGTATATCTTTGCCGTCTAGACCAATGTCCTCCAGTTGTTTTAATAGAAGTTCGTGTTTAACACGATCGAAAGCCTTCTCGTAATCTATGAAACACATCAGTACGTCAGTTTGCATGTCCCTACATTTTTGTACGAGAACGTTAAGGGCGAAAAGAGTTTCACGTGTTCCAACACCGGAACGAAATCCGAACTGGCTTTCCGCAAGTTGTTCATCACATTGAAGTCTTATTCTATTATGTATGATGCTCAGAAAAACTTTAAGAACGTGGCTCATAAGGCTTATCATACGATATTCTTCACATTTACGAGGGTTTTTCTTTTTAGGGATCGTGATAAACGTAGATTTTAGCCAGTCATGAGGTATATTGCCAGTATCGGAGACTTGGTTAAAGAAATGTGTGATTACGTCAAGTTGGTCTTCTTCTAGGAGCTTAAGAACTTCTACAGGTATGTTGTCCGGTCCCGGTGATTTGCCCGCTTTTGCAGTTTTCAAACCTCGTAGAACTTCAGATGTTAAGATAGAAGGGCCAGAGTCGTCAGTATTTAACGCAATGTTTCTTTGGTCTTTAAACATATTGGATACATATTCACACCACTGTTTCTTTTTAGCAGCCGTTTCCAGAACCAGATTGCCTTGGTTATCTCTGAGAGCAGGGTAAGTTTGATAACTATAGCCCAACATCTCCCTAACATGTTTATGAATATTGAAACTATCATGTTTGCGAAACAGATCCTCCATGTATTCACATTTCTGTCGGTAATAGTTACTACGAGCCCTTCTCATTTCCCTTTGAATTGTAGTATCGACTTGCTTATAACGCTGTATGTCAGTACCTTTACACATTCTTCGTTCTTCCATTAACTGCAGAATTGGGTCTGTCATCCAATCTTGTTTTTTAACGGTATGTGGCTATCGTAGGTGGTTGCGGCAAATATCATCCATTTTTTGTTTAAGACTTGACCACGAATCTGGATTGGCATTAGATCGTCTTATACGCTGATTAACGGCCCATTCGTTTATGTCATTAGATACCTTTGCTCGAGTTTCCGGGTCAAGAAGCATTCTAACGTTTGGTCTTATACTAGCCTTCTTTATGTTCATTTTCTTCAGTTTGCATCGTATATCTACGACAACTGGATTGTGGTCTGACCTAATGTCGGCTCCTGGGTAAGTTAATGCTTTCTGGACAGAGTTCCGGTATCTTTTGTTAATCATTACGTAGTCAATCTGATTGCGGACTATGTGGTCTGCTTTGTGCATTGGGGATGTCCAAGTATAAAGTCGACGAGGGGGCAGCTTGAAGAGGGTGTTCGTTATCACTAGGTCTTTATCCTGGCAAAATCGAATTAATGTATCACCTCTTTCGTTACGTATCCCTAATCCATGTGGGCCTGTCACATCCGGCACAGCATTCGATCCAACTTTCGCGTTCATATCGCCCATCACTATTAGAACCTCATGAGCTTTCGTTGATTTTAGCAGAGTTTCTATGTCATTGTATAGATCATCAACCTCAGATTCTGGTCTTTGCTCCGTGGGTGCATACACTTGAATGATGTTTATGTTACATATTAGTTGTGTCTTTTTAATTAAATAATAACATTATCGAATGTTGTGTAATCGTAGGTACCAATTCAAGATTGTCACAAATCCATTCCCTAAGTAAACACAAATAAGCCAAGTTTGTACATTGAATATAATTCAATTATATATTAAGTGTTCTTATTATTTCAAATATGTAATAATATTTTAGGAAATAAATGTGTTTCTGTTAGGAATGCTTATTTATCATGTAGAGCAAAAACTTATCGAGTTAGTTTTGGATATCCAACAATTTTTACGTGACTGTCAAAGAATGTAATGTTTTTAGAGTTCTATGTTTTTTATATTGTTTAAACGCTTTGCAAATCTTTTTGCCGGGTCTGCATCTTTATTTTGCGAATTGAGTCAGCTTTTTATGTCATATGAGGGTAGGTAGATGTAGGGTAGTAACCACTCTATTTGACGCTCCTACGTTATCCTGGGTCCATCCCTTACGATGTAAAGCTTTTCAAAAGATTCTTACTGATAGCTCATTACACAACACAACCAAACAGTTGTTGAGATATCACTGAGGTTGTGTATTGGGAATTTGGTGTATTTCGTTTATAAGTTGACGTTCTTTAAAAGTGATTAAAGTTTCAATAATATTTTCTTATATAATTTTCTACTCCTTCTTAATTAGTTATCTTGAAACAAAAATATTTTTAATGTGTATTCGTATACCTTTCATTTCAAATTCATTAGTTGCTTAAAATTTTCATTTGAGCATATCTATGACAAGATTTCATATAGTATTGTGAATATTAAAATTAGTTATATAATGTTGTGAATTTAATTTATTAAGTTTATTTAACATCACTATGTTAAACCATGATTAAATGCTAAACGTAACAGAGCTTCGTGTTATTTTATTCCTTATATGACCATTAATCATTCATCATTGTTTAACGAATGAGTGCTAGTTTAGGACTAGGATTTTAAATAAAAGGAAGATTTCATTACATTCAGGATAAGTATTAAATAAAGTTGTTCTATTAATACTATGACACACACGTGCAATGCAAACGAAAGAAGCTGACAAACACATACCTAGATTTAAGTAGACGCCGCATGTACTTATAATTGTTTAAAAACGGAGTATGTCAGATTTTGAGTACTCACAAAAAAAAATAAGTAGTGAAATCATGCTTTTTCACTACACCCGGTCACCCATTTCAATTATATCGTGTTGAGCATTTTGAGCTCCTCCGTACTTTAGGCCTCGGCTGCATGTGTAGTTATTAGCTCCCATCATTCCGCAAGGACCGTGTGGGGTGATAAAATAATGTTCTAGGGTTTTGTTCTTGAGTTATCGAGGATTCTTAAAAAATATTTGTATTCTTACAGAGAGATTCTTATCGTGTTAGCTTTATGTCACATTCAAAGATGCTTGCTGAGTGACTAATGATAATGAAAATTGAACATTCAGTATGAATAGGGATACATTCCGAATGACGTGCAGTAATGGCAGCGGCGTGAAGCGACGACCGAATATTGTTTCTATGCACATTAGTATGACTTACACCCTGGTACTATAGTTATAGTTATAACATAGGTTGCCTGGTTTTATAGTTCTGCGATGCAGTGTAAAATGCTAGCCAAGGTTTTATTAATTCTAGGAAAAATAGTCTCAAAATTTCGGCCTTAATAGGATAATAAGAGACAGTCAAACTGTGTCTAGGCTAAGATTAAAAAAAGCTGAAGCAAAATTCCAGTCGAAATTAGATGTTTTATTTGCTTTGTATAATCAGGCAGGGCCTCAATTGAACCCAGAGAAGAAAAGTTTATCAAAACTACCACTTATAATTTACGTAGTTAATCAGATTGCTCATTATCAACTAAGTATATATATATCCTCATCATCATCAGCCTATTAAAGTCCCCACTGCTGAGACACATCCTTTCCCTATGGATAGTATAGTGAGATCGGGCCATGACCCACCACGCGGGCCCAGTACGAATTGGTTCTAACGAGTCGCAGACGCACACGCAGTAGGGACGAACGGCTTAACGTGCCTTCGAAGCCGAAGCCAGGGAGCGGGGTGAAAGACCTGCCCCAGCAGAGCTGCGGCAGGTCCGATCCATAGCGCAGGCAGAGGCCTTGCGGCGATAGGATGAGGTACGCGCCCTTGTAAGCGGCGGCCACCGGACGATTGAGGCCAATCGCGTTTGAGGAGTGGGTGGGTCGCCGGCGCGGCGGCCTCTCGTTCCGCATGGTGCAGGTACTGACCGGGCGCGGATGCTTCGGTCACTACCTGTTCCGTGTCGCCCGTCGGGAGGAAACATCACAGTGTCATTACGGCCGAGCACACCTTGTTAGAGTGCTCGGCCTGGCGGCAGCAGCGCTGCGATCTGATCGCGGCATTGGGAGGCGGAACCCTCTCGCTGCGGAGCATGGTAGAGGCCATGCTACGTAGCGAGACGACATGGGAGGCAGCCGAAAGGGAGCGGGAGGATGATCCCCTGGCCGCTCCCTCCCGCCGAAGAAGAGCAAGCAGGAGAGGACGAGAGTTTCCCAGTTTTTCGTATTTTTTATTGAATTGAAATAAATAATATAAATATATATTTTTATGTATGACTTGCCGGCGTTTTGGATTTTTCTGTAAGCCGGCATGTGTAACTGGAATAAATAAATAAATAATTCTAAAGCGAGGTCTCCAGCGCGTGCTTTGCCCTACATAATCAACAAAATTATATAAATGTTTAGCAAAATCGTCTACACAAAACTTTCCATCACTACACATATTTGTTTGTATCGACAATGTTTTTGCTTTCCTAGTTCGATGAAAAACACGTACACAAATCCCTTCTTGCGCGGGTCGAGGGGCAGGGTATTGTTTCATCATCCATTTTTTTGACAACTCACTAACGGGGGCTCCGTTTCAAACCTAAGCTGCGAGTACAACTTTTCACTCTGACGTTTCAATTTTGACATAAAATGTACGAAACTTTTGTCAAATTTGACATTTCTTGCACCTGAATCGTAATTTTTGAACATAGCACGTAGCCCTGTGTATGACAGCCACGTGAACAGTAGACGGCGTTTGTAGAGAAACATGTTTCAGAAACAAAGTTATGTGTATGTGTTTTTGAATGTTTACAAAAACCTTTTTCTGGAGACCCGCCTTAAGGCAAACGTGCTGTATGATCCATATTTTGAAAACCTCAATAAGTATATAAGTATTTTAAGTTAAGTGAGCGCCCTGGAATGCTACTCGTAAAACAAAAGTATATCATACATGACAGTTATCAAACGCATTATTGACTCCGAAGTAATGAAGCTATATCCTTTAACATTTGTATTCTGGAGTGAAGGAGGCGTATAGAGGCGGAAACGTGATAGTAATGATAGCCCCTTATCCATAAATATAAAACTTAGAGGTGACTGACTGACTGGCACAGCCCAAAGCGCTGGACGGATCGGGCTGAAATTTGGCGTGTAGGTAGATGTTATGACGTTGGCGTCCGCTAAGAAAGGATTTTGATCAATTCTACCCCGAAGCGAAGTGAGGACGGGCCACTAGTCCTTGATAAATGTTTGGCTTTCTTGATTAGTGATGTTTTTTTTTCTGAGTGATGGTACTTATTTTTTATAAGTTGCTATTATATTTGATATGTATAAAAGGTTATCTACACAAAAGAAGAATAGTCCAAAGGACGGTTATGGAAATAATAACTAATGTGGTTTCCATTGAGCAAGTAAACTCTGGTTGTTTCCACAAAACAGAAAAGACTTGTTGCGCTCCTTTTTACTCTGTAGTTTTTTTTATCTTGTGTTTGGACGTTGGGAAAGTCTAAAATTGTTCAATAATCATAATTTAACGGAAGGGATAGTGAGCCTAGCGCACATTGGATGAATTTCTTTTTTGTTTGTTAACCAATTAAAATGAAACAACAAACAAAAGGGTAGGGACAATGCATCAGGAAAAAGGGTGGCCTCCATAGCTTAGGTAGACGTCCGCGAATTGCGATACAAAAGAATCTCTAGCGTGTTGACGTCTACCCTACTCCGTGGAAACTTTGGAAACCTTACTCACCGACAGAATTTAAACACCACCAAAGGTACTTATTTCACTACGGTCTGGCCTGTAAGCAGCGTTGCCAGATTTTTTTTTGCTAAGTCGGAATTTAGGAACTTTTTGAGTGAAAAAAGCGGGATTCTTTCGTCGAAAGCGGACATAGTAAAAAAACGTAAATAATCAAAAGTTTTTGAATATTTATTATTTTATTTGAGTTCAAATTACATTTACGTGACAGTAAATAGGTAGCTAGTAAAAATATCCATATAAAATGTATTTTAAATACAAATATGATATTTTAAATCGATTCACCCTATCTTTAAATAGTTGAGTCTTTGTTTGAGAGTTCTTCATTACGTGCGTCCACGCTTTCTTAGTACCCTGCACGCACGGTCGAGTTATTCACGTAAAGCGGGATTGAGCCTGTCCCACGCGGGACATTTAATTTTGATTTAAAAATCGGGACGTCTGGCAACGCTGTCAGTAAGGTGTAGATTACTCTCCCAGATGGGTGCTCCACTTCAAACTCATGGCCTACCTTTGTACAATTTTCGTATCTTTGTTAAACTATTTACCTATATAAATACCAGAGGGTATGTGTTGGTTAAGCCAATAACATGTTGGAATTGGGAGTTCATTCCAACTATTGTTAGTGGATAATAGGATGCGATGCATGTGACACGCTGTCACATGGAATGAAAAGCCGCTGGGCGCTGCAGCACACTATCACTACGTTATCAAAGGCCTTTTGTATTTTGTGATTGGATAGGTTTAACTTTATTATCTTCAAAGCTGCAGCTTTACTGCTATAGAAAAGTATGTCGATAAAATCCGTTGTAAATCTATATTTATGGCACAATTTTAAACAAACACAGTTTTTAAGAAATTCGTAATTAATGAGTTTAAATAAATAAATATTTCCAACACTCACACCAATTATCCTAGCCCCAAAGTAAGCATCAAGTAACTGTAAGGCTTGTGTTATGGGATGCTAGGGTAACGGATAGAATACATGTACTGTACATATATAAGTATATTTATATAGAAATACATATTATACATCTGGGGCCCAGGCCTTCTCGATGGATGGAAAAGGGAGATTGGGACCATGACCTACCATGCAGACCCAGTGCAGTTAAAAAGTACCCTCCGAAGCACGTTAAAAAGTACCCTCCGAAGCACGAAGAAGCTCGATTCAATTTTCCGACATCCACGCGAACGAAGTCGCGGGCACAGCTAGTTTAACTATAGGTAAGTAATTACCGCATTTATTTTGTAGTTGGATAACAATCGCCACTGACGTTAGGAATCAGTACCCTTAGCACGAACCAATATCGAATTCGTAAAGTTTGCAGGTCCGAAATGTCATTGTCAATTGTCTACTGATTTTTGGTTCTCGTTACGTCCGTTATGGCGCTGCTGTTCAAGTTTGTTAATGTTTTAGATGGCAAGTTCAGTGCCGCAAGGAGCGTATATAAATCAAGCACGTCGCTGGAAACGTTATAAACTATGGGTGATAGTCAACGATATTAAATACCCTAGATACACTACGTGCGCTCAAAATGTGTCCCAATCAAGGAGTGCTTGAACACCACTCAAGCACTTCTTGGTTCACAGTCACGCGCGGACTGGTGCAAAGTCAAGGTGCCGCAGAGCTCCATGAAAAAATGGGAAAAAAAATATTTATACTACGTTAATATGTCGTTTTTTGACATCGCTTCAATGTTTGTTAATATAACGCATTTGAAGCTAATTTTGTTCTATTACTTACTATAAACTGATTTAAAAGTAATATTTGTGATATTCAAATGCATGGTCGGTTATATAGACGTCTCTTTT